TGCACCCCGGCCCCCTGCCTTCAATCTGAGGCCCTTTCTAGTCCCATGGCAAGCAGTGTCTGTTCCAGCTTCTCTCCCAACACAACCCTGTGCTCCTGACTGATAGAGAGGAGAGAACATTGGGGACCTCCTTCTCCTCCAGCTCGCCCATCACTCCAAGCACACAAGTCATCCCTGCCTTATCAGCAACAACTCCCCTGCCCAGCTGGCCTTCCCATCCCTTCTGTCCCCATCACGAAAGGAGCCTGCCTGAGGCCCAAGCTTGCTCCCACCGTCTGTACTTGCTCACTCCCTTGTCCCAAAACTGCCCACCGAGTGCTGGGCGTCCTCCGGCCAGAGACACCGAGCAATCACCCTGCTCTCCCATGTCTGCAAATGCTCCCTAGCTCTTGGCACATCACCACACTTAGTTTCTCCCTCATCTTAAAAGGAAAGTCCCTCTGGGTGCCGCCCACCCTCACCTTCGTGACCCCCTCACCTTTGCCTCCCCGAGCTTTCTCCATCAATCTGTCCATAGTCAAGTTTCTTTAGAGGGTTGTCTACACGTCCCATCCCCTCCATTCTCACTGCCCACCCTCTCCAGATCCCTCTCCAGATCCCTCTCCAGTCCTCTACAGATGGAGAGGGGGATGCCGAAGCTCTCGTGGCTTAGTGCTACTGCTCCCAGCCCTGCTGACTGCCCTCAACTTCACCTGTCACAGCCCCCTGCCCATGCTGGTCCTTCCTGTCTCCCCCAGTCTCTCCCTCAGGGCGCCTCCTTGTGCTGGCGATCCGCCCAGATCCCCTCCTCTGCTCACCATCCTCTTCCCCGGGCCGGCAGTCTGATTATCAAACACTGGGGTTGATGACTGTCCCCACTGTCCCCGGGTCAGATGGCCAGCTCCATCTCCCCAAGGCTCCAGACCAGTACATTCGGAACCAAATTGACATACCCACCTGGGTGACCCACGGGCCCTCACACTCAGCTGTCCGGGGTCCCACCTGCCCTGCTCCTCCCCAGGGCTCCCTCCCCTTTCCATGAAGCTCCCCCCATCTCCACCTACCTGATTCCGGGTGGAGATGCGGGCATCACCTGAGACTCCTCCCTCTCCCTCATCTCCACCCCTGGTGCCAGGGATCGACCAAGGCCAAGCCACGCGATCCCATGACTTGGTTCTCCCCCTGCTGTAGTCGCCTTCGTTCTGAGCTCATCTTATCTGGCTCGGACTATTGCAACATCCACATCACTCATCTCTGGCCCTCCAGCTGGCCTTCCACGGGAAGCCAGAGGGCGCGTCTTCCCACGGAAACCTGCCCCTGCCCCCCAGGGCAACGCCCCTCCCTGGCTCCCCACGGCCCCCCCGCCCCGCAGGGCCCTCCACGTCTCGGTCCTTGGCCACCCCTCCGGCCTGACCCAACACCCCACCTTGTGTTCCATCCACCTCCAAAGACCCATCACCTCCAGCCAGGCCGTACCGATTCTCCTTTCCAATCTCTTACCTCCCATTTCTTCTCTTTTTCAACAGACTGGCCAAGTTGAAAGTCCCCTCTGGGAGGTTTCCGATGGTCCTGCATCCACTCTGCTCACCACACTGCACGCCATCCCCACCTGGCTGTGTCCCCCGCTCCCGTGTGAACTCGGGGCCAGGGCTGGGTCCCATCCTTCTGGTCCCTCCATGGCCTGGACTAGCTAGCGGGTGTGCTCACTGCACACATACTGAACGAATGAATGAATGAGCCCAACAAGGCCTCAGTCCTCTCCTTGGGGACCCTGCTGATCTGTTGCAATCCAAGGCCCCAGTTGCCCTTGCGGCTCTGAGTTCTGAGCACTCAGGTCTGAGTTCTGAGCATTTTTGCCACGGGCTGATGGCTGGTGTGTGGAGATTTATTCTCCTCTGAGATTTCTAATCCCACTGGAGAGGGGCAGAGTGGGGTGGGTGCCTGGGAACCCAGAGGGCTGGCGGCAGTGAGAGGGAGGAGCAGGTGGGCTTATGCATGGGCTGGCACTTGGCTCTGACTCTGGGGGACCTTATCCTTGGAGGAGTTGGCTGGGGAGGGGGCAGGAGACCTGTCGCCCACCCTTTTCCAGACCTGCCCTGGAAGCCCAGGCTGAAAGACCAGTGGGTGGAGGAGCCAGTGGAGAACTGGAGTTTGTGCAACAGCCTTCAATATGTTTGCAATAACAGGGAAATGGAAAAAATGTTAATTTAATTTTGACAGTGCCCTGGGGATAGCACTCATGGCTCAGAGCTCACTGACTGCCACCCTGTCCAGCCCTGCTCTGGAGGCTCCAGGGACGGAACGTGGGCGGTGAAGGGTGAGACGGTCAGGACTCCCCGTCCCAGACTGTCCCCCTGCTCCTGGTCACTGTGTGGACCCCTCCCTCCATAAAACAGGCTGCTCAGGGTTCTGAGAGCCATGTGCCTTCAAGCCGAATGAAGGCGGCTCACCATGGAAGGGGAGACCAGCTGCTCACTGCATGTGCCTTCCAGGGGTGGGCCTGGGGCTCTAATAAAGATACCCAGCTGGGAAGGGCAAGCCTCTTCTGCCTTGAGCCTGCATCACCCAAACTCTGATGATCCCTGTGTCTGCCCCCAGAGACCTGCGGGGAGGGTACAGTGAGGGCCAGGGTCTCAGGAGACCTGGCTCTGAGAGCCAGCTCAGCTCTTTAGCAGCTGTGTGACCTTCTCAGAGTCACCTCCTCTCTCTGAGCCTCTGGGTCCTCACTAGGAATGTGCTGGTGCCTGAGTGTCTGGCTGCAGGCAGGGCAGGGGACCTTTGGGTGGGACTCCCAGGGGCTCTGACCCCCCTTTCCAGCACTTAGAGCACAAGGGTCCAGGATGTTCACCCCCAGATCTCAGGGCTGTTGATCTCCTTGCACGCTGGTTTCTGTGTGTCTCTTCATGTGCCACGCTTGGAGGGGGGAGGGTGGGGGCAGCACCGGGGTCAGGAACACAGCCCCTCAGCTTCTTCTGGGGCTCTCGGGTGAGGGGGGCTGAGTCACCCCTGGTTGCCGTGATAGCGATGTCACAGGTGCATTGATTTAGGATCTCCAGAAATCAGACCTTGAGACAAGGTGTTGGCTGCAGGTCTTTTATTTGGGAGAAGGTCCCAGGAACCACAGGTAAGGTGGTGGGACGACAGGCAGGGAAGGGAGACAGGCCAGCATGAGCAGGCAGCCCAGGGCTCCGTTCCCCCGGGGCCCCCTCTGAGAACGCTGCCCGACAGAGCACTCTGGGTGCTGGGCGTGTTCTAACTGTATCCTGACCGGGATGGCAGCCACTGGCCGCACAGGAGCTACTGGGCACTAAAATGCGACCAGTGCAACTCAAGAAATGTATGTCCACTGGCTCAGATGGTAAAGCATCTGCCTGCAACACAGGAGACCCGGTTTCGATCCCTGCGTTGGGAAGATCCCCTGGAGCAGGGAACGGCAACCCACTCCAGTATTCTTGCCTGGAGAATCCCATGGAGACTGGCAGGCTACAGTCCATGGGGTCGCAAAGAGTTGGACATGACTGAGTGACTGAACGACAACTGTAGAGCATTCCTGGGGCGGCTGGGGTACTTACCCGCTCTTAGGGGGCATCAATCCCCTACAGCCCTTGGCAACACCCAGCCCAGCCTGTTTTCTGGTGTCAGAGAGCCCTCAGGCAAAGCAGGAGAAAGATAGAGGCAGTAGCTTGAAGCCATCTTCATACCAGAAACATACCAGCAGCAGATAAACTCAGGTGGGCTGAGGGGTCTAGGTAGGGTGTCCATGGACACATCTCATGGGCAGATTGCTGACAACCCAGGATGCTGCAGCCTCTGACCCACCCCCTTCCTTTCAGCCTTGGGGCGTCTGCTGGGCGGGGGGAGGGCAGGTCCGTTTCCTCTGGGATCTGCTGCATCTGAGGGGCCCTCATCAGGGCTGACGGGGTCCACTGCCGTGGCTGAGTCAAGTAAGGCAGCTTTCTGCCCCTCCCACGGCTGTATTCTCCCCAGGGTGACCCATAGACTGTGTGCCCTGTGAGCCAGTTCTTAAAATCAGTCTCTCTCTGTTCTATTGGTCTTTATTCTCTGGGGAACCCTGACTGATCCACTGCCTAAGTTCGTTTATTAAGCAAGCATCTTTGTGCTTTTTTATTTATTTATTTATTTTTCAGGATCTGTCCTTTATTGACCTGGGATGGCAGAAAATTGTTTGGCCTGACATTGACTGTTTCTGTGTCCTTGATACTAAAAAGTATAGAGGACGGGTTCACAAACCATCCAGTGACACATTTGCCAATTTGCTACATGAGAGTCTGGGGATTAGAAAAAATTACATCTTATTTCCTACCCAACCCACCTGGCCTTGCAAAACTATAAAGCGTTGTGGACTCTAAAGTGTGAAGAGCTCATAGAGGTATCTCGTTTTTCAGATGCCCAGCCAAAGCACTAATTTTTGGCAGATCAGAACAGGTGAAGTAGAGAAAGGAGAATGACAACGTCTGGGACAGTGGCAGGGAGGAAGGCAGGGACCCCCAGCTGGAGGGAGCCAGGCTAACCTGTGTGAAGTCACATCCATTTTCATGGGAGGCCTGGAAGGACTACCACACCCCCTCTGAATGACTGTCCTGAGTTAAAGGGGCCAACTGTTGGCAGCTCTGACAGAGCCTGTGAGTTGGGGTCCCTGGAGAAGGTGCTGGAAGCCCCGAGCAGGAGCTGGGGGGCCCCCAGGGAGATGGAGAAAGGGCAGGAGTAGAGGCCTGCGGTGGTAGGAGGGTGAGGCTCTGGCTTTGACTCTGGTGGGCCTCCTTGCAAGTTGGGGTCCCCAGGGTCTGGGTGCTAGCTGAGTTCCATGGAGTCTGTGCTGGGAGCCGAAACGGAATCCTTCTGGATGCTTTCAAAGCGGGCAGCCAGTTCGGGATTGGATCGAATTTGAGATGAGAAGTCAGCCATGATGGGGCTCTTGCCCACTTCCGGGATGGTCAGCAGGGCAGCCACTGCCCTCATGGCTGAGCGCTTCAGTTCATCTTGCTTCTCAAACTCTTGTTTCACGGAACCAGCTTTGACCTTGGCAGTGCAGGTGGCCCTGAGGGGCTCGATGAGCCGGTCCACCCTCTGCAGGACGGCACAGGACACAGGGCAGCCAGTCGGGCGAGCATGATGAAGGTCAGCATCCGGATATCGCAGTGGTCCTTCAAGCCATCCTCCACGTGGTTCAGGAACTCGCAGACGTCCAGCTGGCCCAAGCAGCTCTCCAGCAGTGAGTACATGCACTCGAAGGCCGCCTTCCGCACGTCCAGCCCATCGTCCACCGTGTGCTTAAAGGGCCCCATCTCCACCTCTCGGATGAGGTCGCGGCGGATCTTCGTCTCCTGGTAGAGGAAGGGCAGGATGTCGTCCAGCAGGTCGCGGACCAGAGAGGGCTTCTTGTGCACGGCGGAGTTGAAGAAAGCCAGTGTGGCCCGGCGCACGTTCAGGTCCGGGTCCTGCAGGCTCTCCATGAATTCTCCGATGAAGGTCTTCAGGAGGGGATCGATGGGGTGGGGCTGATCGGAGATGAGGTACTTAACTGCTGTGATGACGGTGCAGCGGGTGTGTGGCCGACCACTTTCCTTGGCAGCCTGCAATCCCTCCTGAATTCCGGCTGCAGCTGAGACAGTACAACTGCCGGTTCTCAAGCAGCCACCCCAAGGACGTGAATCAAGAACAAGAATCCAAGAAGGGGCTCAACCTGAAAAAAGACCTCTGCCCAGGCCTTGGAACTGCGTTCTATTTTTCAGATATTTTTTTAGACATATGATCTCAATTAATCCTAGTCATTGGTTGATAATAATGTTAGTTAAAATGATTTCAAAATTATTGTTAATCTCCACTTTACAGATGTGGAAGAGAGACCAGAAAGGTTAAAATCAGATCAAAGGTCACACAGCAAGTCCAGAATTCACCAGCTGCTTCTGAGCTCTCTCTGGGCCCCCCTGTAACCTGCATTCTCCAAGGAGAGAGCAGTTGTGCTTCAGATGGGCTAAAATTGCTTAATGTTGCTTTTCTGCTCGTTTTCTGAATAGAGAAGCTGCAGAAAGGGAAGGAAATACACTTCCCATCAGGGTGGAGGAAATTAATTGGCCATCTCTCTCTCCTCTCCACCTCCCACCCCTCTAGCGCATAGCACTGAATGGGTTAAGGCTGTTTCCACCCACAGACTTTAGTTTAAGACTTGGGACAAAGTTTACAAGTTGATGCACGGGTATGAGAGAGTGAGTTACAGACTTCAGACTTGCAGCTTTTTTCCTCTTTCTCTTTCCACTCTGACTGGCTCCTAAGAAGATTCAGGGTAGCTGGTGAAGATAATACACGTAGAATAGGATTAAGTGAATTAAGAAAAATGAGGCCAAGGGCAAAGTGAGATGGAGACCAGAGTGAGGGGCGTGCAGAGAGAGGCAGTCCCATGAACTTGCTGGTACCAGGCGGCTGATCTGGCTCCAAGCGTCCCACAGCCGGTGGTAAAAAGGAAATGTGGCTGGTTAGCTGGTTCAACAGTGGATGTGAGGCCCAAGCAAATCTGAGTTATGAAAAGGCAGGGCTCAGACTTCCCTGGTGGTCCAGTGGTTAAAAACCCACCGTGCAACGCAGGGCACGTGGGCCCAATCCCTGGTCCGGGAAGATCCCGCGTGCCAAGAAGCAACGAAGCCCCACCACAACTAGTGAAAGCCCGTGCACTCCAACACACACTCAGTATGGCCAAAAATAAATTTCTTTTTAAAAAAGGAAAGAAATTGCCCCGCATCCCAAGACCCTCGCCTCCCAAGGTTTCTCGTGAAGAGCCCCGGGGGTGTAACAGGTGATGTCCTCAACGTGCTCGCCCTGTCCACACAGCAGTGAGGGCCAGAGCCGCAGCTTCTACACCAGCCACCCAGTAAGGGCCTAACCGGGACCACCAACACAGCAACGACAGCAGATACTAGCAGTACGAATTAGGTACCACCCACCAGACCAAGCGCTCTGCCTGCATTATGTCAACCAACCCACCACTGACCATGTGAAGACCAGCAGACGAGCTCTGGGCCCAGAGGCCTTTCATTCCCAGGGGCTTTGATCTGCCCCAGGGCCCACCATCCACCTGCTTGCCTTCTTCTTCCATGAGCTGCGGAACATCCTGACGCACTCTGACCCCACGACATGACACCTGCCCTCCTGACCCCGTCCCTGGCCCTCTCCGGGCCACGGGGCCTGGCATCCACTCCGAGTCCACGTTTACACTTGCTCCTGGTCTGCGCCAGCCCAAATGAGCTGCATTCTGCACCCTGCCGTCTCTGGCCCCTCAGAGAACCTCCTTTACCAACCTTCACCAGGGGCACGTGGCCGCTGACAACACCCAGTGGCATCTTGAGAAGTTTACTTGTTGGAAGGACACGTCAAGGATTGTGTCCCCTCCGTCCCAGAGGGTCCCCCTGAGTCTCAGGAAACACTGTTTATAACAGCTCCTCTGCACTGTCTTATCAACACCATGACGCTTAGACCCCATCACCTGCACGAGCTCACCCGCTGTGGACCTCCTGGGCGCACTGCCCACTTCCGATCTGGGCTGCCTTTGCCCATCCCCAGGCCCCTACCTGCAGCGAGTTGCTTCCGGAACCGGGGCAGGAGGAAGGGAGGGTTTACGAGGACAAGCTTCCCGATGCACTCGGCCACCACCCCCCGGGTGCCCTCCTCGGCACCCTCGCAGCGCTGGAACAGCAGGGCCCAGATGTCCTCGGCGTAGGGCTTCAGGCTGTCGGGCTGGGCGGCCCCCAGGGCCTCCCGCAGCGAGTGCAGCAGCAGGTACTGCCTCCGGGGCTCGGCCTCCATCTGCCCCAGCAGGAAGGGCAGGAAGTCGGGCAGGCTCCCCGCGCCCACGCGGCCCAGCGCGTAGGAGGCGGCCACCCTCACGTCCTCACTGGGCGAGCCCAGGGCTCCCAGGAGCACTGCCTTCAGCTCCCGCTGTGGGCCCGGCCCGGCCACCTGGCCCACCTCGGCCAGCGACAGGAACGCCAGGACCTTGACCCCAGGGCTCGAGCTGGGCGACCTGGCATCACCGACCAGGCGGTTGGCCGTGCCCGCCGCCTCCTGGGGACAGGCTGCGGCGAGGGCCGCCACGCAGCGGGCCAGCGAGTGGAACACCTGCTTGTGCAGGCCGGGCCCGCCGTCCGCCGCCTGCTCGTACACAGGCGCCGTGAGCAAGCCGATGAGCTTGGCATACTCCACGCATGGCGGCCGGGTCCCCACCAGGGCCTGCAGGAAGCCTTCGGTGGCCGCCAGTACCCCAGCTGGCAGCAGGGGCGAGCGCAGCAACCGCAGCAGCTCGGCCAGCACGGGGCCGCTGACCTCGGCCATGGAGGCTGGCTGGGCACGGGTCACAGTAGCAAGGAAGTCCACGGCCAGCTGGGCCACGTGCATGTCACTCTCGCAGACCTGGGCGGGCAGCTCAGCCAGCACAGCCCGCACGGCAGACGGCGGGAGACCGGGGCCCTGGTTCTGGGCCAGCGCGGCCAGGGCCGCCAGCGTGGCCAGCCGCAGCGCCCGCTGGTTCTTGCGCAGGGAGGCCAGGATGGGCAGTGCCTCGGCCAGGATGGGCTGCAGGTTGATCCGCAGTGGGGACATGGCCACCAGCCTCAGTGCCTTGACAGCCGAGAGCCGTGTGATTTCGTTCCGCAGGCGGTCCAGGAGGAGCAAGAGCGACGGCTCCAGGTCGACCCCGAGTCGGTCGCCCAGGTGACCCACGAGGTGGCCCATGCAGGAGATGGCCCGCTCCTTCACCTCCTGGTCCAGGTCGGTGGCCCAAAGCCGGGCCAGGGTGGCCGCAGACATCTCTCCAACGTAGGGCTCGGGGTCCAGCTTCCGAGGCGCATCCATCGGCCACAGTGCCCTCACCAGCTCCTGGAGCACCAGCAGGGCCTCTGCTGCGATCTTGTAGAAAGGGTCAGCCACGCAGGCCATCACTGGTGGCAGGAGAGTGGGCAGGTGGGGCTGGAAGGCCTAGGCCGGCTCCGTGCCCAGCAGCCCCTGCAGGAAGGCCAGGGCGTCCATCCGGATGGTGGAGGAGCTGGAGCGGTCCGCCAGCGAGAAGACAATGCCTGCTACCAGCACGGGCATGTGCTCCGCCAGGCTGCCCGGGAGGACGCCCGCCAGCTCGGTGAGGAGGCTGAAGCAGCCCTGGCGGGCCCTGGCACTCCGATCTTTCAGCTGCCGCTGCAGGGCCTTCATCACAAGAGGCACCTGTCCTCGCAGCATCTGGAGGTTGCTGCTGGTCTGGGTGGGCTCCTGCGTGACCTCCAGCCACCCCTTTGGGGGCCGCGTCTGCCGCAGCAGCACGATGTAAGCCCCAGACACGTCGGCCTTGACCTTCTCCTCGCGCTCCTTGAAGCGGTGGATGAGTGCGGGCGCCAGGGCGCAGTGGAAGTCAGGCAGCAGGTCGGGCCGAGAGTCGATCAGGGCTGCCAGGCACTTGGCCGCTGCCCGGCGCACCTTCCAGCTCATGTCGTCGTCATCGCTGTATTCCTCCTCACTCTCTTGCTCGCTGAACTCGCTGTCCTCGGTCTCCATCTGCTCCTCATCCTCGTCACTGTCGTAGTTATAGTTGGGGTCATGCTTTACATACTGAAGGCAGAGGCTGGTCACGTTGGGCACGTGAGGGCCCATTTCCTTGGGGCACCTACTTCCTCAGGAAGGCCTCAAAGGCCTGGAGGCAGGACTCCCGAAGTTCGTCATCATCCAGGTTGCAGAACTCCTGGCGGTCCAGGTGGGCCCCCAGGCGGTGGCCTGCCTGGCGGCCAATGCTGCCCAAAGACTGGATGAGGGTGCGGATCGCCGCGGGGCTGGCTGGCGCCGGGCAGCCGGTCCAGCAGGTGGTCGGCGAGCTCCACGAAGAGGTCGGTGCTGCAGGCGGCCGCCAGGTGGCCGAGCGCCCCAACGGCCCGCTTGCGCACGGCCAGGCGTGGACTGCTCAGCTGCGGCAGCAGACAGTGCAGGAGGCTGGCGTGGAAGGCGCCCAGCGGAGCTTCCAGCCTGCTCAGCATGTCAGAAAGGATGTCCAGGGCTTCCAGCTGCACGGCCACGTCCTCCTGCTGGGCGATCGCACTGGTGAGCTGGCCGGTGATCTTCCGGCACACGCTGGAGGCCAGGCTGGAGCCTGTGGCTGCAGTGGGGAGCTCCGACAGGACGGTCTTGAGGCCGATGCCAGCGATGTCTCGGAGCTGCTCCTTGTCTGACCGCATGTTGGCACAGAGGGCGTCCACGATGGTCTCCACCTGGTACTCCTTCACTTTTCCCACCAGAGGACCCAGGCACTTGACCGCCAGGTTCTGCACCTCCCCATTCTTGTCCTCCAGGAGCCGGAGCAGCATCTTCACCACCTTGCGCTCACTCTCCTCGTCCAGCTGGATGGAGTCCTTCTGAAGCTCCAACATCAGGTCACTGGTGGCCATGAACCTGAAGTCCTTGTCGCTGGACGTCATCTTCTCCAGGAGGCTGGAGATGTGGAAGGCGGCGGTGCTCATGGTGGCTGCGCCGCGGGGCCGCCAGCGGGAGGGAATATGGCGGCGCGAGCCCCCTCCCCCGCCCTGTGCTTTTTTAAAATTAAAATTAAAAAAAATTTTTTTTGGCTGTGCTGGGTCTTCGTTGCTGTGCATGGGCTTTCCTCTAGTTGCGGTGAGTGGGGGCTACTTTCTAGTTGTGTGGTGCGTGAGCGTCTCATTGTGGTGGCTTCTCCTGTTGCCGAGCACAGGCTCTAGGGCGCGTGGGCTTCAGTAGTTGTGGTGGGTGGGTCAGCAGCCATGGCTCTCAGGCTCTAGAGTGCAGGCGCACAGTCTTAGTTGCTCCAAGGCATGAGGAATCTTCCTGGAGCAGGGATCGAACCCGTGTCCCCCACATTGGCAGGCGGATTCGTAACCACTGGACCACGAGCGAAGTCCAAAGCAAGGCATGTGTATTCCTAAATATGTATCCAGCACCTGCTCTGGGCTAGACCAGTGATGGGCCCTGCAGAACTGGACGTGAGGAGGTCCCCTACTGGCGCTTCTCTTTTGTGGGCGTTGGTGTAAATGTCACCTCTTCAGAGGAGCCCTCAGACCTTTGGAAAACCGATTGATCCACCCCATTATTATTCTGTTTCAACGCCTTCAAGTCATGTTTTAAAATTATTTTATTAATATTTCTTTTTTGGGGAAGAAGGATCTGTTTCTGTTTACTTAATAGAGGATCCAAGTGCCAGAAGGGACTTAGCATTCAGTAGACAACAAATCTTTGTTGAATAAACACATGAATGAATGTATGGGAAATGCCATTTCTTGTTGCCAAGGCCGTCACACCCAGTGAACACTTGGTAGTGGCAGATGGGGGTTCAGGGTCCCAGGCATCTCTAGGAGCCATGGTAGAGGATCCAGGGAGCTATGTGTCATGGTGAGCCCGGGGAAGTCTTCACATGTGGCCCAAACTCCAATGTGGATTTTACACATGGACTTCCCATGTAGCCTGAACTCCGACTTACATGCCAGCCTGTTGGTCGACTGTCTCTCTTTTTAAATTAGTTTATTAAAAATATTTTTTATTTTTTAAAAACCTCAACTTTATTAAGGTTTAATCAACACACAATAAACTGCATCCATTTCAAGTTGCATGGGCGTGTGTGCATGCTAAGTCACTTCAAGTCATGTCCAACTCTTTGTGCCAAGTTCGTGCCTGCCAGGTTCCTCTGTCCATGGGATTCTCCAGGCAGGAATACTGGAGTGGGTTTCTGGGCCCTCCTTCTGGGGATCTCCCCCATCCAGGGATCGAATCTCCTGCATCACCAGGCAGGTTCTTTACCACTCAGCCATCAGGGAAGCCCATTGTTGAGTATATCAATAATTAATTCCCTTTCCTTGCTGAGTAGAATACCATTGGGTACACCATTTTTTTATCTGCTCACTTGTTGATGAACATCAGGGAAATTTCCAGAGTTTGACTAGTTTGAATAAAGAATATGTTATAAACGTAGGTGTACAATCCTTTTTGTGAACATATGTTTCCATTTCTCTTGGAAATCTGCTTAGAAATGGGATTCCTGGGCCATATGGTAAGGGTATGTTCAGTTTTTTTAAAATTTTATTTTTAATTGGAGGATAATTGCTTTACAATGTTGTGTTGGTTTCTGCCATACATCAACATGAATCTGTTCAAACTGCCAAACTGTTTCCCAAAGCAACGGCACCATTTTACATTCTCATCTGTAACAGATGAAAGAAAGCTCTAAATACTCACGGACACTTGGTATTAGCAAGTCTTTTAAAAAATTTCGTTTTCATTGTGGTATAATTTACCTATAGTGAAATGATGCAGTCTTAAGTGTATCATTCAATCAGTTGTGACAAAGGCATATCAAAATTCAGAACATTCCCATCACCTGTGAAAGTTTCTGTGCTCATTTCACATGTCCCAACCCCTCAGAATCAACTGTTGGTCTGATTTCTATCAGGCTTCCTTGGTGGCTCAGATGGTAAAGAATCTCCCTGCAATGCAGGAGACCTGGGTTTGATCCTCTGGAGAAGCGAATGGCAACCCACTCCAGTATTCTTGCCTGGAGAATTCCATGGACAGAGGAACCTGATGGGCTAAAGTTCACAGGTTGCAAAAAATCAGACATGATTGAGCATCTACCACCTTCACTTACACTCTTTTTACTGTCTTCTATCACCATAAGTTGGTTCTGCCTGTTCTAGAATTTTATCTTTCATTTGGCATAATTTTTTTGGTTGTTATTGATCAAGCGCAGGAATCTTAGTTTGCCGACCAGAGATTGAACCTGGGCCATGGCAGTGGGAGTGCTGTGTCCTAATCACTGGACACTCAGGGAATTAATTCCCAGCACAATGTTTTTGAGATTTATCCATGATGTTGCTTGTATTTTGTTCCAAATACTGTCTCACTGTATGGACATACCACAGTTTGTTTATCCATTCTCCTGTAGAGGGACATTTGGGGTTTAATAGTTTGGGGCTATTAGAAATAAAGTTGCTCTGAGCATTTATGTTCAAGTCTTTGTGTGGATATACCCATTTCTCTTGGGTAAATCCTCAAGAATAGGTAGAGTTTTTGGACTATATGACAGGTGGATGTTTAACTCTAAGAAATTGTCAAACCATCTTCCAATTTACATTTCAGCCAGTAACATATGAGCATTTCAATGGCTCCATAGCCTCTGTAACATTTAACATTGTTTAATCTTTTTCATTTGAACTTTTCTAAAAGGGTATATAGTGGTATATCATTATGATTTTAAGCATTTCCCCACTGATTAGTGATGCTGATAACTTTTTTTGTGTGTTTACTATTTTGTACTTTCTTCTGTGAAATGTCATTTCAAGTCTTTTGTCCATTTTTAATTGCTTTGTCTTCTTACTGATTTTTAGGAATTCTTTATATATTCTGCATTCAAGGCTTTTGTATGTTTTGTGAAAATTTTCTCCCAATTCTGTGGTTATTCTATTTATTTTCTTGTCAGTATCTTTTTTTTCTTGTCAGTGTCTTTTGAGGAACATGTTTTTAATTTTAGATAAAGTCTAATTTAAATTTTTTATTTTAAGAAACATTAAAATACAAATTTTTTCTTAAAAACTTTTTTTCAAATATTTAAGAAACATTTGCCTACCTCCAGGTTGAAAAGATATTTTCTCAGTTTCTTCTAAAAACTTTGTAAGTTTACCCTTTACTTTCAGGTCCAGAATCCATCTCAAACTAATTTTTGTGTATTGTATAGAGAGAATCAAGGTTCATTTTTTTTCCACGCAGATATCTGGTTATCCCAGCACCATTTGAAAAGCTTTTTTTTAAAGAAACCATTGCCCAGACAGGTCATGAAGATTCTTTCCTATGTTTTCTTCTAAAAGTCTTATAGTTTTAGTTATTAATCAATTTTGAGCAATTTTTTGTATATGCTATAAGATAAGGGCTCAATTTTGTTCTTTTGCATAAGGAAAATCAGTTTTCCCATCACCATTTGTTGAAAAAACTGTTCTTTCCTCATTGAACAGTATTGGCACCCTTGTCAAAAATCAACTAACCATCATTGTGAGGGTTTAATTCTGGGCTCTCTATTCTAATCCATCTGTCTTTATGCCAGTGCTACTTTTTTTTAAATTGTAGCTTTGTGATAAGTTTTGAAATTGGGAAGTATGTGGCTGCCTGTCTTGTTTTCCTTTTTCAAGAGTGTCCTATTTGCGGCCCATTGAATTTCTATATGAAATTTAGGATGCAGTTTTCCATTTCTGCAAACCACATCATAATTGGGACTTTGATAGAGATTGCACTGAATCTGTTTTAGGTACTAAGTAAGTCTTCCAATCCATGAACACAGGCTATCTTTCCATTTATTTTGTTTTTTTAAAATTCTTCCAGCAATGTTTTGTAGTTTATAGTGTCCAGGAATTGCACCTTCTTGATTAAGTTTATCACTAAGTGGTTTTTAGTTTTTTTTTTAATGTTATTGTAAATGGAATTGTTCTTTAAAAGTTTTTTTGTATTGTTCATTGCCAGTGTATACAAAGACAACTGGTCTTTGTGAGTTGATTTTATATCCTGTAATTTTGCTGAATTTATAGCTTTTATAGTTGTATATGTGCTTGTGTGTGAACTTGTTAGGATTTTTTACATGTAAGACCATATCATCTATGACTAGAGATAGTTTTACTTTTCTTCCCAATTTGAATACCTGTTTTTTCATCTTCCTGCCTAATTGTTCTGGCTTGATTTTCTAGTACTGTGCTATCAAGTGGCAAAAGTGGGCATCCTTGTCTTGTTCCCAATCTTAGGGAAAAAACCTTCAGCCCTTTACCACTGAGTATGATGTGTGCTTTGAATTTTACATACATGGCCTTTATTTTGTTGAGGAAGTTCTATTTCTAGTTTATTGAGCATTTTTTTTTAACCATAAAAGGTGTTGTATTTTGGCAAATGCTCTTTCTGCATCAATTGAAATAATTATGCTTTAAAAATGCATTCTATTGATGTGGTGTTTTACATGGCTTCATTTTTCACATGTTGAACCACGTGCATTCTGGGGAGAAATCACATTTGGTCACGGTGTATAGTTTTTTAATAAGCTGCTGAATTCAGTTTGCTAGTATTTTACTGAGGTTTTTTTGCACTTATATCCATAAAGGATATTAATTTGTAGTTTTGTTTAATGTCTACAGCCTTGGTATCAAGGTAATACTGGCCTCATAGAGTGAGTTAGCAAGTATTTCCTCTGATTCAATTTTTTTGGAAAAGTTTGAGAAGAATTGGCATGAAATCTTCCTTTGATTGATGGCAGGAGGAGAAGGGAATGACAGATGATGAGATGGTTGGATAGCATCACCAACTCGATGGACATGAGTTTGAGCAAGCTCCAGGAGCTGGTGATGGACGAGGAACCCTGGCATGCTCCAGTCCATGGAGTCACAAAGAGTCAGACACGACTGAGCGACTGAACTGAACTGAATTTCCTTAAATGTATGGTTGACCACCAGTGAGACCATCTGGT